TCACCTTCATGTTTTTGTGGAACTGAAAAATCTAATATAATGGCTTAATTGGCCTGTAAAACACAAATTACATCACTTTGCACGGCACAATGTACAAAACCCACAACCTGTGAAAAGATATGTATACTTTGTCACCACATTTTACAAGTCCTTACCCTGATACAACTCAGGCCTTTGCATAAGGCTCAATAAAATGATTGCCTGGACCTCCTTAGGCACCAGAAAAGCAGCAGAATGAATGCAAAGGGCCAGGTTATGTCTAAATAATGACACTCTCCATATACATAGATATGTTAGTCTTACTGACTTCAAATACAAATAATATCTTACATACCATCTTTGTTTATCAAAATAGGTCTTCAACCTTTCTGTAAAACTAGTCATAGTTTTAAAAGTTTACATTTAAAATATTATGCAATGTTATTCTGAAGACTAATAAAACAAAACTGAAACATTTTCTTTAATACCCCATCACAGCTCAAAAAAGGCCATTTATTAACTATACTTTATGCAGAAGCAGAGTGCAGTCCTCACTTTCCCGGTAGATAAGTGATGTAGTTGGCTCATCTTGAGTCTGGTTACTTTTCAAGTAGTGGCTAACAATTTTACAGTCTCGCTTGTATTGGTATGGTATGTTTTCATAAGGCTTCAGGTCTAAGTCGAGGATGGAAACTGAATACAGGAAACTTGATCTTGAGGTCTTCATAACTGGTCTTGAGTCAAAGCTAAAACAAGATTTACATTGTCAGAAGCACTTTGGATAGTAATTTGTTGACAGATAAGCCATAACTTATACAGTAGCTTTTTTTAAAACAGTTTTTTCTTTTTCTTTACAGCCAACAGCCCTATTATTAAAGTGTTTCTAACCCTAATAAAAATGTAATATATTGTAGCTTACCAGTTCTTTGATGTGGTTGCATTTGGTTTTTTTGTAAGTATTTTTTTTGTGTGCTTTCATTCATTTTTGTGTAGGTATTTTTTTCTGTTTTTTCATCTGGTGATCCAGCCAGTAACAAACCTACTATCTAAGGGTTGTTACGCTTACTTCTCCACGCTATCTATAGAAAAGCAGCGCAGCCATCCTGGGACAACAGCAGGTAGACACCTGTGGAGAGGGTAGTGTTAGCTGGCATGATACTTTAATGTGTTAGTCATTTATATACAGTATAATCCATCTAAATCTACTCACATTTAGATAAACTGTACATAAAGTGACTAACACAGAGTTAACTGCGGTTCAGTGTAAAAAACCGGCACACTACAAGTAATATGCCGTTTTTTTACACTTTGGTCAAAAGTACCCCCAAAGGGGTCTTCAGGGTCACAACAGTGCGGATACTCCACTGCCCTTTATAGCAGGCCTTCTTAAACTTTCTACACTCGTGACCCCTTTTTGGCCGAGGAAATTTTTAAGGGACCCCAGCGTCGGACGGTGTCTTTCCCCTCTTTCCCCCAACGTCGGTCGGTGTCCCCTCTTTCCCCCAACGTTGGTTGGTGTCTCCCCCCCCTGCGTCGGTCGGTGTCTCCCCCCCCTGCGTCGGTCAGTGTCTCTCTCCTGTTCTCCCCCAGCACCGGTCAGTGTCTCTCTCCTCTTCTCGTCCCTCCCCCCAGCGTCGGTCAGTGTCTCTCTCCTCTTCTCTCCCCCCCAGCGGTGATGGCGGTCCTGACCCGGGACTCAGATCGCGACCCCCCCTGTTCACTTGCGTGACCAGATATGGGGTCGCGACCCACACTTTAAGAAGCACCCTGCTGTGCCACATGCCAAGGTGGGCGATTAACACAGGATCCAGTGCCCAAAGCGCTGGATGGGATCCAGGAATGGTCCCCAAAGCTATTGTTATGGGGCACCAATCAGGAAACCGCGAAGTTGCTGCCGTGACCAGAGGCAGCCAAAGAAAGCCTGATTAAAGGGTCGTAGGAAAAAAGTAAGTCACACTCTATGCATTTCCCTAGAGTGAAGACATCCATCACCTAAGGACACTATTTTGGAGTAAAGTGCAGGACCTTCCCCTTTATGTTCTCTATTGCTTGTTAAAAAAACCTGAGGATTTCTAGAAAGGGATATATGAGGGTCCTCACAGGTCTGGGCAAATTCCGCATGATACCTGCATATTACCCAGTCATCGCTGCATCTGCCTATGTCCTCTACTGTACAATTGAAAGCAACAATAGAGATCAGTGGGGTTTTAAAGGCACCAAATGGCACATCCAAACAATAACCTTGTATCATAAAATACCTTTATTACTAATCTGGTTAAAAAAGAAGACATAACATATATTGTCAAAAGCTAAAACATGATACCTCCATTACCAACACTCTACTCCATTTAACCTATGAGCAAGTAGTACATAATTGATAATATTGCACATGACCCATTGAGCCCGAAGTAGTAAATCTATGTCAAATGATGGCTACTTCATAAGGAACATAATATATTCTATGTGTACATAAACATGATTGGATGGATCAAGAATGTTCTCTGGAAATAATTCAAACCGGCCATTGCTAAGGAAATGGAGGAGTAGTGTGTAACCTCAACGCGTTTCACGCATTCTGCGCTTCCTGAGGAGGTGGAGGAAATCTAAATGATTGAAAAAGTCAATAAATAATTCAAATTGAAGGAAAATCCGTAAATTGCATAAAGATACGAGGGAATTTAATTCGCTCTAATTGGATATAGCATATCTAGACACTAGCTCAGTAAATTTTTTAGGGGCAACTGCACAAGATACCAGGAGGACAGAGAATCTGAATAACTTCCTGGGTCAAAACCAGCTGGAAATAATGAATTTATCTAACTATGTTGTGAATAAAATCACAAAAACAAGTCCTACGGTTGGGTCTGAGTTTTTGTCCTACGGACAATATGAAAAACTTTGAGGTGGTTAAGGATTTGCATATGTTTGCACGCAATTGACTCTTTAAGGTCATATATGATAGAGGCTCCACTAAAGGAGACCAATTGAAAATGGATCAAACACGTTGGGAGGGATACACTATGCGTGACTTTCGTGCACTCAGATCTGATGCAATTGTTTGAGGGAGATACCACTGACAATGTACATACTGAGGAGGCTTCAATCGAGGAGGAGTCAGCTAAGTCACTATTTCCACCACAGTCTAAATTTAGAAAGAAGTCTATTAAATTTCCGGCACTTCCATCGAACCCCAGTATTTGGACCCTACTTCAGAACATCATTAAGGAGATTGAAACTTTGCAGAATTTCTGTCAAAACAACTAATTTACCCAAATCATTTAGGGAAGCTCTGCAGAGATTATCCAGTATTGGGGATATTGTGATTAAACAGGCTGACAAGGGGGGCAATGTGGTGGTGTTAAATAGGGAACAATATGAGACGATGCATTATAAAATTTTGTCAAACAGAGTGGTATCAATTAATTGGCTTGGATAGACTGAAATGTTTTCAGGTAGAATATCTAGCAATCATTCATCAAGCATACCAAAATGATTTGATCACTAAATTTTTTTTTAAATATTTAGATGTCAAGTTTCCCTGCATGCCCACCTTTTATTGCCTGCCCAAGACAAAAGCTTGACAGACTCAACAGGAAGACCAATAGTTTTGGGGGTAGGTAGCTTAACGGAACCAGCAATTCGCCTGATTGACAGCTATGTGCGACCTCGTGTACTCTCGTTACCTTCCTATTTGAAGGACACGTCAGATTTATTAAAAAACATCGATGGAATCATGATTCCACCAGAGTCATGGTTAGTAACCATCGATTTAGAGGCATTATACAGCAGTATTCCTCATTCTAAAGGAATATCTGTTTTCAAACAGTTTCTAGAGGAGAGAACCAACTCCTCGACTCCTTATACTTTGTTTATTCTAGATCTTTTGCAGTTTATTCTTACACACAATATATAGTTACATAGTATTTGAGGCTGAACAAAGACACACGTCCATCAAGTCCAACCCATTGTGTATGTGTGTGTGGGTGTAAAGATCCCCGCGTCATCTCGTTTTTAGGACTCAATCCTCCACATCGCCCTCACAGCGCCCTCAATGTTTTTGTCTACAACGGATCCCATTACCTCCAGATACAGGGTGTGGCGGTGGGCACTTGTTGTGCTCCATCGTACGCTAACCTGTACCTGGGGGGATGGGAACGGGATCTTTTTCATCGGGGGGACACTCATGTATTCATGGGGTATGTCCTCACCTGGCTGAGATGACATATTTATGATCACCTTTTTGAGGAGGAAGCGATCAAACGTAGGGATTGCCTGTTACTTAGGGGTTACAGTAAGCAAGTCCTTAAAAGAGCCTATCAACGGGCCAAAATACAAACTCGAGATAAATTGATTTATACATCAAGTCATCAGCAAAAGGACATCCACAATCTTCCACAGTGAGATTGATTACTCGCTACTCCAACCAGCATGAGCAAATTAAACAGATCTGTGGGAAAGCATTAGCATTTGCTTTGCCAGGATCCGATTGTTTCGAAGTATGTGGGACAACAACCTGAGATTGTATATAGATGCTCCAGGACCCTAAGGGACCAGCTTATACATAGCCACTATTCAAGCAGCGAGGAAGTGGCAGGAATTAATCCTGGCACCTATAGATGTCAACAGTGTAGCTATTGTAAATTTATTAAACAAGATAAGTGTGTTAGATTACCTAACGACAAACTTTGGTATCCAAAACATTACATTGATTGTACAACCAAAGGTGTGGTGTACTTGATGAGGTATATATGTGGCGCCTTTTACGTGGGCAAGACAATTTGATCATTGTCCCGGCGCATTCAGGACATTTATCTAGCATCTAATGGGGAAATTATGACACCAATTAGCTGCCACATTGGCTTATATCATAATTTTGATCCAACTGTCTTACCTTTTTTTGGATTAGAACATATAGAGGAGAGTGTACGAGGGGGCAATTGGGATCAAAAAATCCTACAAAGGTTAACAGAGTGGATTTATACTTTGCAAGCAACAAATCCCCCTGGATTGAATGAAGCCTTAAGTTTCAAGCCCTTTCTGTAATCACTTAGATGTGACCAGCTAGAGCTTTTGAATGGACTTTGTTGAATCCAGTAGGGAATAGTGGGTCTTGGTGGCCATTTCATAACAAGGATATATGTTACCCATTCACATAACTTTATTATAGACAATGGAGTGGAGAATGTTGTGTTATAGATCTGTAGAGTGGATCCTCTATGAGGGTGTGGAAATTTTTTTCCCTTTTTGTTTGTGTAAATTCTTTATTTATACAACAACACATCTGCGATACAATCAGACATAGAAGAGTATGAAGATAACTTGTGATACATAGAATTAACAGAATTAACAGAATAGTAACTGTCGAGGCCAACGCTCCCGGGGGGGGGTACCGACATAAATCAACCAAACATCTATTAGACATATCTTCGGCATGAAGACGTGAGTATGTCAATCTGTCGTCAGTGGGTCTCTCTGCCACTATGCCAAATACACCAGATGGCGTCATTGCGGTTTGTAAACATATAAGCACGTATCTAAGTTCAGGTGGGTAAATCGGTGTGGCCAGCTGTGCCAAACACCAGTTTTCCAGTTTACAAAGGGGGATAACAAAAGGGAGAGGACTAGGAAAGAAAAGAGTGGGATAAAGCCAAAGCACATACGAGAGAGCAAAAAGAGACAGGGAGAAAAGGAAAAAGGAGAATAGAGAACCTCTGCAGTCTCAGTCCAGGAGGCTCAAGTATTCTGGGGAGGCGGAGAACTCGTCCCACTCAAACCAAACCAGAAGCCCAGTGGGGCCAGGATGGGATCTCTGTCCATGTCGGAGCATGTCGGCCAGCCCGCACCCTGTAGAAAATGAAGCGCCCTAAACCTTTCCCTGAGCCCCAGTTGTACGAACCCTGGGTCCTGCAGCCCAGGGGAAAATTCAGGGTTCCCAATTACCGGGAGGAGTGGGGAGGGGGATGGGGAGACCAGTCTAGAGTCAAATACCTTTCTGGCAATCCTCCACGTTGGTCCCAACGTGGGGTGTATACGTAGCACCTGAGAAATACATGAAGGACCAGTCGACCCTGTCGAAGGCCTTCTCTGCATCCGTAGATAGCAAAAAGGCAATTGTGGCCTTCGACACAATCGAGTGGATTAGGTTCAGAGCTCGGGTGGTGTTGTCCCTGGCAAGGGTTTTCCCTTCTTTTAGGCTGTTCGGGTAGTGATTTGACCATTCAAATATTGATATCATACTGTGTCATTTTTGTATTTTGTTGTTGCTCTTGGTGATTGGAGGGGAGATTACAATATCATGGGAAGGTCCCTTTTGTCTCCTTCTAAATATATTCTTATGTACTATGTATATTTTATTTTATATGTCAACATCTAGATACTGCCTTGTATAAGACTTGTGAGTCGGGACAGAATTGTGACCCCTGCTGTGATAATGTAAATGATGTATTTTTATGTTGTTTGTATACTCCTTTGTATTTATGTCTTGAGTGTCATCTATAACAAAAATGTTCTCTTGGTCAGATATATGTTTTGACAGAATTTTCCCTCTATGGTCCCTTTATGAGATTGTTGTGCGGGTGGAGGGTCATTGTCCTGGAGGATGATGGATAGGGCGTTGTTGCCATCTTAATTTGTGGGGTACCGGCATCTTTTTGGTGGTCTCCCTTCTCTCTGTCCCCCATTTTGGTCCCTCAAGTTGCGGGCATTGTCTTTAATTGCCCTGTTAGATACCTCTTTGCGGTCTTTTGCCCTCCAGTTTTATGTGTGGAGGGACCTGCATGATGCATGCCACAGTAGGAAGTGGCTCTGGCCATGCGGCTGTATGTTTCAAGGGATTATATGCCAGGGGGGCGGGGACTCCTCGAGAGAGCCGTGACAGGGGAGGGACTGGATTCCCTCCTCCAATCCTCCAGCACTGACTGGCGGAACAGATGGGGGAGGTGCCTTTAAAACCCACTATTCTCCAATGGATTCAACAAAGTCCATTCAAAAGCTCAAGCTGGTCACATCTAAGTGATTACAGAAAGGGCTTGAAACTTAAGGCTTCATTCAATCCGGGGGGATTTGTCGCTTGCAAATTATAAATCCGTGGTGATGTCATCATGCTGGATGCCGTTATTACGCCCGCACAGGCCCCGGTTCCATTATTCGGCTTGCAGCCGGCCTCCTGCATGCCAGCGGCTCCGGGAGCATTAGGCTGTGGAGGGACCCCTTTTGTTGGCTGCCTTCCCCATTAGGAGACCGTATTAGGACCCTGCAGGTGAGACATTCTGTGGATCATTGAGCAGTATTGCTGCCCTCTTTTATCCGGACATATTACTTTTTTGGGCTAGTGATTGGAGGCAATATAGGTGTCTGTGGAATTCTTTTAATAGCGCATTTGGCACATTATATATATATATATATATATAGCCATTAATGCTCATTATATATTATTTTCCTTTTTCAAGTTAACTATTTGGGGGTCTCTGGATTCTATGAATCATTCACTAAATTAAATTATTTTGGGACCCCACTGCTGCTATTGCTTTCAATTGCCTTTGGGGGCATCGATTTCCGCCTGGTCCTTTTCCTGAGTTGTGGGTCTCATTCGATCTCATCCGGCTGGATGCACATGTTTTATCTTTATAATTGGTAGATGATATTCTCGTTAATTATCTTTATGCAATTTATGGATTTTCCTTCAATTTGAGATATTTATTGACTTTTTCAATCATGATTTTTCAATCATTTAGATTTCCTCCACCTCCTGAGGAAGCGCAGAATGCATGAAACGCGTTGAGGTTACACAATACTCCATTTCCTTAGCAAGGACCGGTTTGAATTATATCCAGAGAACATTATTGATCCATCCAATCATGTATATGTACACATAGAATATATTATGTTCGCTATGAAGTAGCCATCGTTGTTTTGACATAGATTTACTACTTCAGGCTCAATGGGTCATGTGCAATATTATCAATTATGTACCACATGCCAAAATGTTAAATTGAGTAGAGTCATGGTAATGGAGGTTTCACGTTTTAGCTTTTAACAATATATGTTATGTCTTCTTTTTTAACCAGATTAGTAATAAAGGTATTTTATGATACAAGGTTATTGTTTGGATGTGCCATTTGGTGCCTTTAAAACCCCACTGATCTCTATTGTTGCTTTCAATTATCTTAGGGGTGTGGCACTAGTTACTCAGGTCTCGTTCACAACTTGTTGTCTCTACTGTACAATAAACAAATGCATTATTTTCAAAGAGGCCAGGTCACACCAATGCATTGTAAAACAAAAGTCTTATGTGCTGCTTTCTGAGAAGGCCGACCTGCTTTTTGCTATATAAATCAACTGAAATGCATAACGTAACAAGCATTAACGTATTTAAAAATGTAACAATGCAATATATGTTAACACAAACATGTATTGTGTGAACCACCCACAGTTTTTAAGTTTTTCTTTTTAAGTAGGCTACCAATAGCTTGGTCTTGAATTAATTTGGGGAGGCAGAAACTTCTGCCACCAACAGTTTACTTCATACGTCATGTCATTGCTGTTTTCCAGGTGTCCCTTTCCTAAACACTGTGAATAAAAGCAATTTCAAACCTGCCAGCTGTCTTTACTATTAACTATATGCATCAAGTGCAGTAAGAGACCACAACACATGAATGTAATTTTACCAGCTTCATACTGCAAGGAAGCTGGCTTGCAAAGACTATTCCAATTAGCAGTACAATTAGGCATTAGCAGTACTACAAATATGTGTATGTCAGCCATACAGGAAGGTGATATCAAACTATTTTATTGTATTCATTTCTTAGAAGTCTTTTCCCTCTCTTTATATATATATAT